TTTTCGATGTTGAATTTTGCTGTCTGATTTTCTGAATTATTGAAATTTCGTTGAAAATTATTTATTTTAACAGTTTCAGATTTTATCTTTTCAGTTGGTACCTTATTCATTATCGTCGGTATTTCTTCATGCATTTTAAAACCATTTGATTGCAATTTGGCTGAACCCTGTTTACTCTGTTCATAATCTTCCCCAGAATTAAACTCTCTACGTGTTGCCTTATTAATCTGTTTCGGTATTTCTTCATTCTTCTTTAAACCGTTTGAGATTAATTTGACTGTAACCTGTTCATTTTTATCAGATTTTTCAACAATTTTAGTCTTTTCATTTTCTGTCATATCAATCTGTTTCGAGTTTACTTCATTTTTATTAAATCCATCAGAAACTACCTTAGCTGCAATATGTTCATTCTGGTTATAATTTTCATGAGATGCAACCTCTTCAATTGCAACCTTATTCATCATTTTCGATATTGTCACGTGTTCCTTTATGCAATTTGAGTTATGTTTGGATTCAGCATGCTCACTGAGTTCATAATTTTCATCCGTTTTTATTTTTTCACTTAACTGTTCATTTATCTCATTTGGAATTTCCTCAATTTTGTTAAATCCTTTTGAGTCTTGCTTAAACTTGGCTAAAATCTTATTCTCCTGTAAACCATTTGATAACTGATTGGCTACAACCTCTTCTATATACCCATCATTCTCATAAAATTTAGCTTTTTTGCTTGCTGTCTCATTATTCAGCTTTGATGTATCCTTATTACACATTAAGCTACATGAGATAGGTTTGACTGCATCCTGTGTACTATGTTTATGATTTTCAAAATACTTGATCTCCTCACTTGCTGCATCATCCTTAATCAGTATCGGTATCTGTGTATTATTCTTTAAGCCATTTGAAACTAGTTGCACTACATTCTGTTCACACTTTTCATCAGATTTAAGCTCTTTATACCCTACCGTATTTTTCACCTGCGATATTTCTTCACACCCCTTTAATTCATTGCAGTCCAGTTCAGTTTTAATCTTTTCACTCTGTTCATAACTTTCATCAGATTCAATCTCTTTACATGCTGCCACATTTTCCACTTTCGGCATTTCCCCACACTTTTTTAAGCCATTTGACACCAGTTTGGCTGCAATCTCTTCACTCGCTTCATCATTTTCTGTAGCATTAACTTTATCGATCGTCTCCAACTGCACACAGATGTTATTAGCAGTAAAATTTCTGATCTCATCTTGCTTAGATGTGTTTAAATCTTTGGCATCAGGTCTGCAGAAAATTACAGATTTTACTGAAGACTTTGTATTTTCTGATTTAGACGTATGCTTTAAAATAATTTTCTTAACATTAGAAACCATTCCTTTTGCATTGTCTTCTTTTATTTGAGGAATTTTATTAGAACGAGGAATAATTGGATTATCTGTATAAGATTTTCTCATAGCTAAATTGGCTTTCTGTTTTATCTTTTTAAAGTTGGTGGGCAAAACCATACTAGATGCAACATTGCTCTTCACTGTTTTTTTGATTTGGTTATTCACATTAACTTTGGTTACATTGTGACCCTTTAGGTAATTTGGATATCGAGGATGCTTGATGATTTCATCAGGGACTTGATCATGAGATTTTGCAACTTTCTTATTGACTAGAAAATTGGGGTCATTATAATGTCGAAGATAATTGGGATAACGTGGGATAACAGTCTTTAAACTGTTCAGTTCGCCCTGCTTCGATTGACTTCCATCTTTAGTAAACTTATTTGCTTTTACTCTGTTCGATGCCAGGGTATCTTTTTTGTTATTTTGACTTAAATAATTGTTACAACGCGGTGTTATTTGTAGTTTGTTTTTAACGGTACTTTTTTTGAATTTAGGGGTCTCTGTACTGCCGCAAGTCTGTACAACTGTTGTGTTATTTGATTCCTGCGCATTATTTTTGTCTTCCTTTCCCACAACATTTTTTTCATTCTTCTTTTTTGCTTCATATTCTACTTCAGTTTCATTTTTATAATTGGAAATAGTTAAGTCTTGCTCTCTATCGTTTTTATTTGAGCATTCAATACTGGAAGAAGAATTTTCAACGCCGTCACTGTTGGTAAGAATAGTATCGCTGAAATCAATTAACCAGTCGCTATCCATATCAGAGCAATATTCACGAGGAATTGTATTTTTCTCAATATTCTCAGCTTCCATCAGATTCTGATTTACACATTGGTTTTGAGATAAGTTCCTGAGTGTATAATTTGGATAATGTGCGTTATTTAAAACTCTATTTCCATCAATCATATCCTCGTAACTACTATCGTTTCTAAGACTAATGTCTGTTTCCGAATCAAATATATTTTTCGGTTCTATAAATTTTTTATTTACATATAATGTATTTAATTTACTTGCACTGTCATTATTCTGAATTTCTTCAACTTTGCTCAGTATAATAATGTAGTCATTTGGAGTTGTATTCTGAGTAGCATTTGCTTCAAAGGATACCATTTCATTATGTTCTGTCTGCAAAGACATAGACAATATTTCATTATTTTCATTTGTGTTAAAGTTTGTTATGTATCCTGTAAAGGTTTTCATATATTTCTTGTCTAAGTTAAGAGTTTTTTTCTCAGAAGCGTTTTTTAAATTATGCAAATATATTTGATTCATAATGTCCACGTATTGCTTTTTCGTATAAGTGGGATGGATAGGCTCTTTCGAATCACATTCTTGAGAACATGCACCGTGACGTGCCCTATTAGTGACAGACTTTTTCATTCTCATTTCCCACAATTGTCTCTGTATGTTGTCCAAAGTTGCATAATCAAACTGAAATTGTCCGCCTTCGTTATCAAGACCTTGTGGCTTTCGAGCTGTAGTATGTGCCAGTGGGGAGTCATTACACTGTAAATCTTAATGTAATAGAAATATGTATTTATTACATAAATGGCGCCTTTTGGAATAAATAAAGTAATTAAAATATTTGCTTACTGTCATCTTTAAGAGTTTTAGGATATATCGCATCTTTCGTTGTAGCAAACTCTTCAATCCCAAATTGCTGAGTATTAGAAGAAAACAATTCTAATTCTGCTTTTTTCGTATCACGTAACGCTTGTTTAGTATCCTATAAAGCAAAAGTCGTTATCAAAGACGATATTTTGTTGAAACTAATAAAATTTTTGTTTTTGTTTCTTTAAAGTGGAACTTCTTCATATCTAATTATTGTAGCACATTTATAAAATGGATTACATTAAAATTATGAACCCATTCAATTATAAATTTCTCGACTTACTTTAAGCAAAGCAGTATTAATTTCTCGAATGATTTTCGATCTCAAATTAGACAAGTGAATTTGGTTATCTTCTGATAATTCAAACATATCGTCCATATTGGTACTCTATTGAATTTTCTAAAATTTTATACTTTCTTGAAATTCTAAGTTTGACGATGACGCCGTTTTGAAAATGGATGTCAAAATATGCGAATACTTTTATTTTTTTTTTAATCTATTTCCTTTTTAAAACTCACTTTTTCAAAATTATATACATATATTGAGCAAAATAATTTAATATTACGACAATTTATTTAAAACAAGGCATTCTATGTTTTTCTTTTATATAAAATAAATTTTCAAATTAATATAATATTTTACAATGCACATTGAATTATAATATCAAAATTAATGCACTTTGAAATCATGGTAACCTAAATATCTCTGTTCATCTTGAAACACCCATACAGTCGACTACAGTTTACCTTCCGGTTCATACGCATATATCCATGTATCATCACCTATCACAATCTTATATACGTACTTTGAAGCACCGTCATTGTTCTCGTACTTCTTGAGCATTTGTGCACCAAACGACACGAGCATCTTTTTGATATTTTGTGAATTTATGTGGGTTCCAACAAGAGCAAACCTTTCTCACAGTTAAATGCTGGCGCAATATTTTATATATGCTGGTGGAACTAAAGCCTAAGGTTCCCTCAATCTCACAGGGAATCGGGAACAGAGAACAAAAACTGATTTCACGAAATTCGTGAATATCATCAGTGAGCGAACCTTGGCCACGATTAAAATCATTGTACCAGCGTTTCACAGGGGCTAAGGATAGAGTTTTATCGCTAAATGTGGAACTTAGTTGATCGATGCACTCCACGTCGAAAGTCATAATACGTCATCGCACAAAAATTTTTTTGTGTTAACTCCATTTTTTTACGAACACTCAATTTACAAATCACTGTAAGTAATACCAATAACGCTCTATTGACAAAAAGTTTAAGGTAGGTTATGCTTAATAATGTCAATCTTTCATATGAAAACGTCAGATGACACCTGACAACAATCAGTGTTACCAAGGCTTAAAATATAAATAGTGGGCCTCGTATTCTCGTTTATGAAATGGTCGATATGGTAGCAAATTTGTTATTATTTCGAAAAGCCGATCTTAATCTATTTTTATTATGTATGTTATGAAAATTGCTATACATATTATATGCTCAAATTTATGTCGATTTTTACAATAGAATAACGACAAAATGAGTATAGAAAAAGATAAAAGGCATCTTTTTGTCTCAACATAATTATAACATCATTACTAGCAACTAATGTTTAAGAATACAATAATTTTTGATATGAAACAATACATGTTAGTTTCCAAATTTATTAAATAGATAAACATAAACTCTGTATTATAAGATATTAATTAAAATTTTATTTTCAACTATAATTTTTTCAGTTATATGGTACTCACGGATTTCCCAGCTTATGATTGTCGTTTATATGTAATTCAGAAATAATATACTACGTACATTCCGTAAGAAAGGTCCGCATAGAGATTAAATATAAATTTTAGCTTTTAATAGTAATTTATTTATAAAATTTTTTACCTATGTTTAAATAAGGTTTTATGCAATTTCATTTACACCATAATTACAGCTTGGTTACATAGCATTGCAGCTATATATTCCTTTAAACTACATTTATGCAATTTTCTCTGAGGTTTTAATACTGTTTCAATGTAACCTAGAATGCTTTTTATAGAGAAAGTTTGTGTAATGCACTGTAAAAAATAATTAAGCATGTTAACAGGTACGTAAATGTCAATTACTCAGACCGTCAAGAAATTAGAGAAGTTTCAGTAAAAATATATATAATGGTCTTTACCATTAATACTTGTGTTGCATTGACTGCAGTGCAAGTGGGTGAGGGGAGTTAAAAATGCAATAACATTCACAACTCCCAGATCCTTAAAAGTAATTTGCAGATTACAACACGCAAGGAGAAAGTATATAAGTAACTTATATTTATTTGAATTTTATTGATTTTAATTAATAAGTACATTTAAATTAAACCAGCTTATTAAGGTACTGCATATTTCTTAAGAAGTTTGATAACAATCAAATAAACTTAATATTCTTTGCAATTTTTTTTAATTCAAATTACTCATACAATAGTAATAACAAATTTAAGATGTTTTTTTTAATAATTTTAAGAAAATAATTTAATTATTAATTTAAGGCAATAACATTTGATTATTGATTTGATCTTGATATAATGGTTTATTATATTAGTACAATACTATATTGTATATTATTAAAAATTCAATTTTTTTCATGAAGTATATGATAACATATATATAATTTAATTAATTTAATATGTCTTTACCAATACTTCAAATCCTAACACTTCCATGTCAAATTTCATTTTAATTGAATAATTATAACTATTTACTGTTTACCCATGACATGTCAATGTCAGATTCATAATGGCATGTGTCATTTGCTTAAGAATCATATTCTTGTTTGAACTGACTTGGATTGATTAAAAAAGGTCATCAGATCATTAGTCGTCATGCATATCACATATATAATATGTACTTATGAAATATACGTACTTGTGTATATATTTTGAACTTTGACTTTTACTTTATACTAACTATAATAAAACAAACTATTGATTTGCACACAATAAATTTAAGTAAATTTTTGTACTCATAAATGTCATTTTCATATTTTTGATAGAAATATTTTATGCAATATCAGTATGATGCAATATATCACAAATACAGGACTTGACTATATCACAAATTGTGGACTTCACTTTTCTTGGCTCCAATCTAGAATATTCTAATATTTCCGGAATAAAAGATAAGGGTTATTGTAGGATGAGCGCATTAATTAAATTATCATTGTAACAGTTTGTGACGAGATATGACAAATTAAGAATAATGTTTGAATATTAGTATTGTTTTTTTAATAAACTTTATAAGAGTATTTAAAAAAACCTGTTTCAAACTACAATATTTCTCATAACACTCAGCTTAGTGGTAAACAGAAGGCACAAGTGGCAGATGTCAGTCTCGTAAAAATGACTATTTACTTAGACTATGAAAAGACTCTCTCAGTTTTAACTTGAATCAATGATATCCTAATTTCCACAAAGAAACGAATGTATTTTTTGTATAAAATTGGCAATGTGTTTTATGCCTACACTAGTGATATGGGACAGACCCATAGAAAAGAGAGATTCTGGAATGGACAATATACCTTCTGTACATTTTCTTCTTCTTCTCTGATACAAAACTTCTTCTCTCCTTGAAAGTAAGCCCTATTCGGTTACAAGTTCTGCCTATAAGACAGTGATAATAGTTGACGAAACAAACAAACTAGTTGCTATGTTTTTTTTTTAATTGCAAGCAACCCATATCATATGTATAGAGTAACTTACATCCTTTTCGTATTGTCTTCACAACAACATTTCAAAGTTTTCTGTTCGTGTGGTCAGTTTAATGACATATCCACGTCTAATGATTTTATGAGAGTTGAACGTAAAAGTTTATTAGGATAAAATATATAAATTTTTTTACAACGTATTACATAAAGGATGTTCGATTATTAACATGAATTTTATTTATTTAAAAGTGGAAAACAGATGATGTTATATTAAATATTTCAATGATTTAACACCGCCGTGGCGTATTATAATTTATAGTTTATATTTTAAAAAATGAGAAACAAAACTAATTTTGTAACTTTTTTCTTGATAAAAGTTATATTTATTCATGTATTTTATTTATTTATGTATTTTATTTATTTCTTTAACGTATATGACTTTAAGCTTTTATATTATAAAATATATGATATGTACATAGAAAGACATAATACTCAGTTTATGTATTTTTATATACGTTTGGCGAACATAAAGATTTTTTTCTTGATTTATGTGATCATACATTTGTGCAAAATAGTAAAAATTAATATTCATGTACTTTTGTAGTCCTTATCCGTAACACATAACGACGACAGAAGGCTCCTTGGCAACATAAAGTTAATCTGCATGTAATAAAAATTTCTTGTTGTCGCCTTTTAGGCGCGTATTCCGTACGAAAACGACTTGCTTGTTATTTCACTTTTATTGCCTTATGCCAACCACCATTTTATCAACGATATCAACGATTGCTTTTTAATTTCTGTTGGACAACGAAAGATTTATAAATTAAATCTGTGAATTATTGTTATCGCCAAGGGACTATCATA